AATGTAGACAATATACAAATATTTCTCTCTTCCTCTTTAGCAACAACACCAAGAGCGAGGACCATATGAACATTTCGCAGGAGATTTTGGTCTTGGACTTTGGCGATGAGAAGCGTGAATTCTTCAAGGCAGATCCAAGCACGGACTTTGCCAAAGGTAAATAACAGATCTAAGAGTAAATGATATAGAAATTAATGTCTTTGGGCGTTAGCTAAATGGATGAAACCTCTAGTTCTATAATTATATTTCTTTCATGTTGTCTCAAATTTTAAATTCTCTACAATATGCAAGCTCACTTTATATATCTCTCTTTCTTTTTCTCTAACCTAACCTCAAATACTAATTCTCTTACTATATCGGCTCCATCAAGTCGAACCTCTTTTTCTCCTTCTCTTTCGCTAACTCTATCTAATGAATCAACTGTCAACATCTTTCTCTATCCCGTCATTTCTTTCATTCCCATACACTAGAGAGTAACCTTTTCTAATCATTCCGTCTTTTTTGCGCCTGCAGACAAGACTGTCACCATCATCGAGCCATGCCCCACGAAGACGTCTGTGCTGGCGCTGGCCGTTACCTGCGCGCTCATGATCCTGCTCTACATCTCCACATTGTTCTGCTACTACATGAAGAAGTGGATGCAGCCGCACAAAATCGTAGCATAAATTAAGGCACAACAAAACACTGCAAGCAATGTGAAGTAAAGAGAGGAAAAAAAAGGAAACAAAAACCATACAGAACACAAATTGTCACCATTCCATACAGAGATATATACACAAACATACACACACACACATTCAAGCCTACTCTCTCACACGCTATGTCTATTTCTCTCGCCTATGGCACGCTTGTCAGCGCTCAGCGCTCTCTCACGAGAGAGAAACCGGCAATGAGAGCAACAGTGCAGTTAATTAGGAAACGGAGCCTTAGCTTCGGTTTGCAATGGAAAACGAAATTCTGAGAAATTGAAAACAAGAAACACACACACATAAACATAGAGCAGCTGCCTGACAAGCGTATATTTTTTGTTTTTTTTTTTTTTTGTGAGCATTAATAACTATATATACAATTTATTTATTTATATTTATTTAGATTTAGAACGTGAGTTAATTTGCAGCAAACTGGCATGGCGAATGCGCCAGCCTTAGCCTATTTTTATATAAACTTATTTTCTAACGTTTAGTAGACAAAGCAGAAAGCGAATTGCACATTTACATTTAAATGCGAATATTAATTTAACAAATTTTTCAAATGAAAAAAGAAATGAACGCGAAGGAGGAACGAATCGCATATGAAAAGAACTGCGAGCGCGTACTTTCTATAAAGTTGCGAAAGAGACGCTGAATCGTAAGGCCAAGTAGCAGCACGAGCGCGTGACAGAGACAGAGACAGAGGTATGGAGTGAGCTTTAAGCTCTAACGATCGTTCGCTTTTGTAACTTGTATAGAGACTGCGGCCGCAGATGCACATACTCACACACACACATATATACAGACACACACACGCCTACTCATGCAAGTCCTACTAATTTCCCATACACACACATATATACAAACGCACACACACGCACATACTCACATTTATTTAATTTAACAATAAAAAATAAAAAACAAAAAATATATATAAAAAAAAGAGAAGAAATTAAGAAGCAATTAAAGGCAATAAAATCAACAAAATGAAAATAAAACAACAAAAACAACGAGCGATCAGAAATCAAGCAAAAAATAACTAATTTCATAGTTTGTACAATGAAATTGTGCTTAATTGTATTGCATTTATTTAATTTAAATCTATTTATGATAATAAAGAATGATAATACAAACGAAAATGCCTTATATCTGCCTTCAAAGTTGAATATCCTCCGATACTCAAATCTTGTTGGATTAATCACTTCGATTTCACATATCCAATTGGACTTTCCCCGATTCCAATCAATTCCAATACACAGGCGAATTCAATTCCCATATGAAAAACAGTGTCTTGTTGAAATGATTTTTAATTTATTTTTTAAACCAATGGTTCGTATTAAGTAAACATTAGTGACATAAAAAAAAAAAAAGAGAAATACTTGATGAAGTTCAGATATTTTGTTTAGCATTTGTAGCAGCGCCTGCAGTTAGTTCGATATGTTATCGAATCAGTGATGACGACAAATCATACTTATTTGAGTTCTAGTTTTCGTTGCGGGTGCGTATGCTGATTTGTTTGTTTGATTTTTTTTTTTTTTGTGAGTACGTGTGATTGGGTGTAGTTTAAGTTAGCCTGGTTAATAATAAATGAAACTCAGAGAGGCGACACCAGCTAATTAGAACTAGCCCTTGAGACTGGTCATGCCCGCACGCATCACCTCGTCGACGAGCAGCAAATTGCTGGCAATGATGGAGCAGGAGTTGAGGATCTGCTTCTTGACAATGTAATTGTCATAAACGCCGAGGTCAGAGGGTTTCATGGGCTCGCCAGTGGAGAGGTCAATACCGACCAGCTCCGGGCTCAGTCTATCCTCGACCGTCAGCTTAACAATGGTGTCCTGAGCATCGTATCCGCTGTTGACAGCCAGTGTCTTAGGAATGACCAGCAAGGCATCGGCGAACGCCTGCACGGCCAGACGGGCCTTGCCCTTAACACTGTCCTTATACTTAACCAGCTCGTTGTAGGCGCGCACCTCGAAGGCGCCAGCGCCCGGCACCAGAGCCTTGTCGCCAATGGTATTGTTGATGGCGCGCAGACCATCCCGAATGGCATCCTTGATCTGGGTAATTGTGTGCTTGTTGGGCCCCTTGATCAAAATTGTCACCGACAATGGATTCTTGCAGTCCTCTACGAACGTGTACTTGTTCTCGCCGAGAACATGCTCGTACACGGAGCCGGCATAGCCCAGATGCTCTTCCTGCAAATCATCGAACGAGTTCATGGCAGTGCCACCACAGGCAAGAGCCAGACGCTCCATGTTGCGGCGCTTAGCGCGACGCAGAGCCAGGATGCCCTCCTTGGCAAGAGCGTCCAGCGAGATGGGATCAATGCCCTTCTGGTTGATCAAGACAAAAGACTTGTTGGTGCCGTCGCATACGGCACGCTTCAGCTGGATGACCTTCTTCACGCGCTGATCAATGAACTCACGCTCGGCACGCACAAAGGCCTCACGCTCCGCGGCCGTTTTGTAGAAGAAACCCGAGTTGACCTCGGCCTTCTCGTACTCCAGCGAGACGTTGGCTGTCAGGATGTAGGCGTTCTCCAGGCGCTTGGGCATATCGGGATGACGTGCGCCATGGTCCATGACCAAACCGCGCACCAGCTGTGTGTCCGTGTCGGTCTTATGCTGCATCTCCATCAGCTCGACCATGTGCAGATCGATGGGTACCTTCTTATCGTTGGAAATAGTCAGCACGGCATCAACGCAAACCTCCGTCAGCAGGTCTGCAAGCAACGGATGCACCTTGGTCCTCAAACTAGTGTTGGCAATCTCCATCAGATTCTTTTTGTTGATATCGACCGGCACCTTGACATTCTCGAGCACTTCCAGTGCCTTGTCGCGCGCCTTCTCAAAGCCATCCGCCATGATGCGTGGATGCAAGCCCTCTGACAAATAAATGTCAGCCTGCTTCAGCAACTCGCCGATTAGCATCACCGTGGTGGTGGTGCCGTCGCCTGTGGAATCATCCTGTGCTGTACTGGCACGTGCAATCATCGATGCAGTCGGATGCTGGATTTGCATATCATGCAGCAGAACGTTGCCATCCTTAGTGATCTTGATGTCTCCAGCGCCGGAGACCAGCCTGCAAGAAATTATCAATTAAAGAACAATTAAAATAGATGTAAGGTTCGTGCTGATCAATAATATATTTAACATGTATCCTCACATGCAAAACCCATTTACTGACAAGTTTAAAATGCCATCTGGACTCTGATAAGAACAAATATTATCGGTTTATCGATGTTTATCTATCATCATGTGCGAATGTTCGAGAATCCAAACAAATTATAACTCCATATGTTTGCGTGAGCTCGCATATGTATTAGTGCATATGTGTGCGTGAGAGCGCGTGAGGCATGACAATGACAAAAAAACTGTATGAGCATCTCAATATGCAGACGCTCAGAAAGCAAATTTTGTTTGAACATTTAACATATCGGGTGTTTAAGCATAGGTTTCATTTAACAAATTATTTTAAGCATGTAAGTAAGCATGTAAGTTTTAAGTCTTGAATTTGTAGGCTAAATACGATATTGCTGTCTCAGTCGCTCGATGACGCATGCCGCTATGCGAAAGCAACAAGACCGATTTTAACCTCACTCGAGTAGCGGCCGCACAGATGTCCGAAAAAGTTTGTTAATTACAATGCTTACTTTGAGTAAGATTTGAATGCCCTATGCATGCACTAAAGTCATGCTTTAAATGCATATTTAAATTAATGTACTCACATTTTAACTGTGCCTTTCGGTCCCAAATTGGTTCGCATCACATCCTGCAGACCTTTGGCGGCGCTGATGTTAATTGCCAGAGCTTGTGCAGCACGTGCAAATTCAGCCTTTGGGTTCAACAAGCTGATGGAAGCCATTTCTGTATTTCAATTATCAACAAATATTAAATTGAAAGAATTAAATGCAAGTGCAACAAACACGCCGGACCAGTTGTTGAAGAAGAATCACAAAGCAGTCGATTTTGATATCACTGTGAGTAATTGCTACAGCCAATCGAGTACTTATGGCTCTATCGATATAGTAACCATAGGATAGTATGCTGCTTACACAATATGGGAATGAATTATATATTTCGTGTACAAAATGCTATTGACTAGGTAAATCAAATGAGTGTATCTTATGTACTTTTATCAACTTTTTTTTTCAAAGTTGAGTATGATTTATTACATTAATTATTATGTTTCTGTATGTACAATATATACATATCAGATGGATACTATCGATATAATTGGTAGGCCTGTCCGGTGAACCCTGCCATTCAGTAATGAAAACTAGCAAGTGGACAGCGCTAAATAAAAACATGTTTGCTTTTCTAGTTGTCCGAAAATTCTGTAATAACATTATATAGTCAAAATCTAAATTATGTGTTCCGCATGGAGAGTAAAAATGTGCTGCGCGTTATTTGTTTCCGCTAAATAATTGAAATGGCGAGTTTTTGGATCTGATGTATTTAGTGGGCCACATTCTGCCATATTATAAACAAATCTTTGATGTGACAAATATACATACACACAGCTTTAAATGTTTGTTAAACCATTTGGCTGGCATAATAAGGCTCCGATACCGATAACGATATACACACCAATACATAGCACGCATCTCTAAACGAAACTAATTCGGCGACAATTTTTTTTTAGTTGAAAGGAATTAACACAAAAAATTAAATCAGTGCAGTGCTCACACATATCCCGCGTGCAACGGGACGCCAAAAAACTAGAAAAGATACTGTTCGAGGTGGGATAATCAAACTCGTGTGGGACACGATGAGTGTGTTGGCATATCCACGTAAAAATGATGAGGAAATATTTCGTCAATGCACAAAGGATTGTGGCGTTGTGACGGCTACCGAGGACTTTCAATCGTTCGCCTTGTGCTGCATTTTCTGCAGCGAAAAGTTTCTCTACTTCGATGCATTCATTGGCCACATGCAAACAGTGCACATGGAGGACGCGCAGCGCACGATGGAGGGCTCTGGCTCCGCCACGGGAGCCAGCATGTCCTACCCCATGAGCCAGCCCATGGCGCTGGGCGTAGCCGATGACGATGATGCGGATGTGCAGCACGACTACGCCAACAATGGCATGCACCAATTTGATGAGATCGAAGACTTAACCGACGCAGACACTGCCCTGCTGGAGCCCCAAATGGTGATCAAACAGGAGCTACAAGAGCTGGACAGCAGCAACGAAGACGACGCCGAAGACATCGACGACGAGGAGGAAGACGCCAACAACCTCCCAGTGCCCGATGATAATGATAACGACGATGTCGAAGATGAGAGCGAAGCAATACTGCCCGAAAACGATGTGCCCACACCAAGCGCCAGACCTCGGATAAAGCTGAGAGGACCACCGCCACACCCAGCCCGGCACATGGTCTCCAGAATACATGTCAAAAGCGAGCCCCTGCCCATCGAGGGCGATGAGTCCATGGATGAGTACGGCGAAAACGAGGGCGAGAGCTATGCGGACGACAATTCCGGCGAGTATCAGGACTACAGCAGCAGCAGCTACAATGCGCAAGGCACCAATCCGCTGGCTGGTGAATCTGATTTTCTCAGCTACGACGAAATGGTTGAGGAGTCTTTAATTGGCGTAAGTCCTGTGCAGATCATGCACTGAATCTATGCTCTTATCCCATGTTCATTTTGTGATTGCAATTGCAGCGGGATCGTGAGCTGACCATGCACATCAAGGATCGCAAGATGATACAATTCCTGATACACTCGTACAAGCGAAATCCATTCCTTTGGGATCACAGTCATGCCCAGTTCCGGGATCGTGTGAAGCGTGCCCGCTTCCTGGACTGGATTGTGCTCGAGTTCAAGAACCGCTTCAACATCTCCCTGGCCAAGGATGCCATCACACGTAAATGGGACAATTTGCGCACCGTCTACAAGCGGGAATGCAATCGCATGGCACTCGAAAAGACAAATATCAGCACGCTGTGGTACTTCAAGGAACTCCATTTCCTGAACGAGGTCTACAGCTATAACTCGAAAATGTCCGATGCCGTTGTGAAGGTGAGTCCATCTATTGAATATATACATATATGTGTAACTCAATACTCCACGGCTGGTCTATATTAGCTACTGGGAACTGATATCGAGCGCACCGTAAATGATAAAAACAATAACAAAGCTGATTTGAATCAAGCGATCGCTTACACTCAGAATGAATTTCATGTACACTGACTATGAAATATTTCAGGTTTCCCAGCTAATTATAATATAAAATGTATCGATTACTGCATACATATAAAATATATTCATCATAATGTATCTGATCATAATGAATAACAGTTCAGAGAATTTTTGATTTCACACAGCTCAGATCTATAAAAGATTGTCAGTGCATAAGTTAATTTGAATTTATTGCCCAGTCTTTGTCACAAAACATCTTTCGTATTTGTAGCCAACTTTTATATAGAAATATGATTCATATTTGTTTTCTTTAATTATTTCAAGACAGATATTGTGCCCCATTAGAAACCAGTCTTAGACCGGTTTTGATAGTTTCACATAACAGATAAATAG